ACCATGCCCTTCCATCAACACCCTATCCCAACTCATCCCAAACAACTTCTTAATAACCTCTCCCCTGCTCTACGCCGGTCACTGTGCCACCAACTCACCAGCTCTCTGCACATCCAACAACCATAACAATAAACTTTTTCCATTTATTTTTACATATGTAAACCGCGTTATAAAACCCCCATAGAGAATGTAAAAGGGACAACTCTCCCTCCATTTGAAAGGAAATAAAAAAGAACATTTTATACATATATTTTGTTTTTTTATCTTACAAACTAAAAAAAAAGAAGAAGAATAAGGAATGAAATTTACCTCTCTGCCAAAGACTATCCAGTGTTTGGAGCCACCATCGAAGAATCCGAACAATGAGGAAAAGTGCACCGACGAGGGGAACAACATACTTGAAAACCAGCCCGATCCAAAGACGGACAGCGACGATCAGAACCTGGGAAAGTCGAAGAGTATCGACTCTATTTCATGCCATTGGGGGTTGTTTTTCGTAAAATCAATCCCAGATCCGAGACGAGGAGGTCGAGGCGGATCTCCAGGTAAAATTTGGTGGTAAACGACCACCGACGATGGTGGCCGACAACACAACGATCGACGACAGCCAAACGGCCGGTGAAGGGCCGACTTTCTAGAGAGAAGTGAGAGATTCTCTCTCTAAAAACTAAAAAATATGAAGAAAATTAAATAAAAGTTTGTATTTATAGAAAACTTTAGAGGAAATTGCACTTAGGTCCCCCTAAGTTATGCGTGTTTTTGCATGTTAGTCACATGTAAGGATTATTTTTGTAATTTACCCACTTTTATGCATGTTATATATTTTAGGGTTGTTTGTTGTTTAGTCCCTCTATATGTATGCGTGTTTTGCGTTTTGGTAATGTGTAGTAACTGTTTAATTTTTTAAATACTCATGGACTGATTTAGTGATTTTTCCTTTTTTATTCGAATGTATATTTTAGGCTAGGAAAAAAGAATATTTAGGAAATAGCTCATGTAATTTCTGCATGTTTATATTTCGAACTAAAATCTGTCTTTTAATTTATTTTAATTTGGCCATGCAATTTTAGTTTATTTTATTTAGTCCCCATGTTTTATTTATATTTTTATTATTTGTAATTTTAGCACAAAATATTAAACATGCTCATTTTAGTCACTTTTACCTTAGTTTATTTTAATTTTGACATGATGGTTTGATTGTTTATGTTTTAGTCCCTTTATGCTTGTTATCTTATTTTTATGATTATTTTAATTTGAGTGCCTTACTTTAATAATTTCCATTTTGGTCCTGAATGATTGAAGTTGGTTTATTTATGATTGCAATGCCTAGTTTGTAAAATATTTGCAATGGTTGCCTTGATCTCTTGTTGGTTTTATAGTTTAATCCCTAAAGTCACCATATTTATTATTTTGATCCATCATTTACATACTTGTTAATTTCCTTCTAGTTGTAATATTTTTAAATTTTCTTTTGCATGAGGAATTTATAGAAACACGCCTTAACTGACAAGGAGTTTGTTTCCATGAATTGTTCGTGCAAAATAATACCCCTTATATTTTTTTTTTTCTAAAAAAGAATCATAATTTAAATGTATATTCAAATTTGAAAATTTTAATATTTAGATGGCGTATAATCGCTTAGGTACCGATTTTGGGCGTTGGGGGTGCTAATTCTTCCCCACACGTAATTGACTCCCGAACCCTTTTACAAAACAAATTTCTGGTTAAACGCGGACTATTTTTTATCTTTTAAAATTATTTTTCTTAAAATATTTTAAATGATATTTTTAGGTATTCGACCAACCTAACCCAAAGGTCGATGGCAACTACAAATTTGTTTATTGATGCATATATTTTAAAACCCAACATTTTTCAAGATTAAGTTGGATCGGTCCCAGAAATAGCCCCAAAAACTTAAGGACCGTTCCAACAAAAATATTTAATTTATTTTATTTTATTTTACATGAGGAGAATTTCTTTTGGCTTAAACGTTAGACAAATCAAGTTCTTTCGGCTACATTTTTGTTTCACATCAAATGCTAATTATTATTTTCTATAAAAAGAGCATTTGAAGAGAGTTCGATTTGTCTTAGATGTTAGACAAACCGAAAATTTTGAATTTATTTCACACTCACTAAAAGAAATCGTTTTATTATAAGTATCTTACTTAAACAAAATTTAAATATAAAAAGGGAGTTTTTCTTGTTCTAGACGTTGAATGAGTTAGAACCTTAAGTTTATTTTTAGTTCATATCTTCCTATTTATTTAAGGTTTAGACACTTAGTTAAAGAATTTAGCACTCAATGTTAGGACCAGAACCATTTGTGTGTTGTGCATAGTTATTTTGTTACATATATATTAAAGAAACATGTCATACATTTTGTATACTCTCATCACATTATTTTAAACGAGGTATGTTCTCAAATTAATTGGGCATTCGATATCTTTCTAGACGTCGGAGGATTTCGAAGTCATTTAATGAAAGAACGTATCTTTGATTTTTTCATAAAAACAATATCATAAGAATTTTCGGATTTTGATGAATATTTTTAAAGTTTCTTAGTCGTTATAAAATTTTGAGGTATTTTAAAGAGTTGTAAGTTCCGAGTTTTACCATGTCCCCCAGACCAGATTTCTAGATTTCGCAGACCCAAATTTAGTATTTTTGATAAAATAAAATATTTTATTAAAATTACTCAATTTTTTGTGTTCCAATCACATATTAAATTGATTGGTGGCGAGACATTTCATAAATATTTTCAAAGACTCCTTTAACATTTCTTGAAGTGTGAAACTAATTTTTATTTCCCCAAGTAAAAAATGATGCTTACAGAAAATAAGCTATATTTTTTAAAATCAAACGGACACTACAATTCAATGATTGAATTGTCAAAACATCAATCATAAAAAGTTTATAAAGATGCGTAAGTTCACTCAATTTTACATTAGCATAGATGAAATACTCCCTACAAATTACATCTCCATTTTTTGTGGATACATGGAAATAAAAACAGACGTAAATTTGTATGTTAGAGGAGCGAAGTTATAATATTTTAAGAGAGTAAAACTAAAATATTTAAGAGAATAAAAATATATTATCAATAAAAGTTATATGAAAACTTTTAAATTTTAAAAATACAACTATCACCTAGATCAACTCACTTGGTTGGTTCAGTAAATTAATGTTGTTTACTCAGGTGACGAGCAAGGATGGACCGAGTGGGGTGGGTAGGGGCAATCGTCCCCCTGAAGTTTTAAAATTACTAGATATTTTATATATTGTTTTATATATTTTCTATTGAAATTTTATTTTCATCTCTGAAATTCAAGTTTTTCCTCCTAAAATTTTAAAAGTTTAAGTTCGTCAACTAACATAGAATCTTGTTTTCGTCTCTGATGACAATCCAAATGAGTTCACACATTCAATGATTTAAGGACTGTTGTTAAGAATGATATTAATTGAATTAAATGCCAAAAAAAGAGCTTGTTGCTATATGTATGAATTTATGGAGCCTTGAGGTTGTCTTTTATGGAGTGATAAATGTTTGCTTTTATCATTTAAAAGAAACAAAATAAAAAACGCATTTTGCGGTGCACAATTCATTTCGTTGGGCCACATTGGCTAGTAGTAATAGACTCACGCGTTACGTTCGTTTTCTTACCAAACCAATTTATTGCTATTGGGTTATGAAACTTAATTTTTTGGCATTTAAGTCCTCAACTGCCCAAAATATCTGTCATTTTTTAAAAATACAAATTTGACTATACCAGATACCGAGGCATAAGAAATACCACATAAACCGCCACACAATATAATATATAAAAAACTGAATATAATATAATAACTAGGGTAAACTACATCTTTCATCACTCGCCATTTCTTCGCTCTTATTTTAGTCATTAAAATCTAATCTTTTTAATTTAATAACTAAACTTTTAAGTTACTTCTATTTTGGTCGCTCCTTAATGATATGAGTTGTTCTTATAGTGTTATTCTTATTATGATATTACATATTTTATTAATATTTAATGATAAATGTGTTTTAAAATAAAAAAAAAGTATAATAATTTCAAATTCCTAATTCATCTCGAAGCTCCGAAGGTAGGTGGGTGGGGGTTGTGATTTGTGTGTCATAATTTAGGGTTTAAGTATTATGATTTGGAGTTTAAGTGCTGTGATTTTGTCGACGGGTTATAATTTAGTATTTTAGTGATGTAACCTAGGGTTTAAGTATTGTTTCTCTTGAAACATAAACCTTTGAGATTGTTTTGTTTCAAGTGAGACAACTTCGAAATTTGGGCTTTAATGGAAACTGTCTCAAGCGAGACGAAACTTTGTTTCGAGAGAAACAATCTCAAAAGTTTATGTTTCAAGAGAAACTGTCTCAAGCGAGATGAAACTTTGTTTCAAGCGAAACAATCTCAAAGATTTATGTGATTTTAAATTTAAGGGTTACAATCTGGGGGTTGGGTTATAATCTGGGGGTTTGGTGTTATGATCCAAGGATTTTGGTGTTGTGGTTTGGAGTTTAGAGGTTATAGTTTAAGGTTTCTATGATGTTACTTAGAGTAGAAGTTATAATTTAAGGATTGTGATTTGATATTTAGGATTTAGAGTTTGGATTCTACGTTTAAGGATTGTGATTTAGAATTTGGATTTTGGGTCTAGAGGTATATTTGGGAATTTTAATTTTGTTTTTAATTTTAATCTTATGTGGAAAATTAATAATAAAATATACCATATTATTACAAAATATTAATAAAATAAGTTAAAATCAACAAAACATAAATAATTTAAAAGTTTAATTATTAAATAAAAAATTTTAAAATTCAATTATCAAAATAGGTGTGAAAAGATTGGGTGATGAACGATGTAGTTTACCTAAAAAATAACACAACACTGTAATACTATAATGCAGACGTTTTCGGTAATTTAAATCAAACGTTTTAGTTCTTTTTCTTTAACAAATTTTCTCATTAATGGCGAATGGTTTTTCTTACATTATAATTGAAGTACATCATAGTTGACATTCGGTAGTCGCCACTTGGTCTTTGTCTACTCTTTTACCATGAACTGCAAATTTTTTATCCTCGTAATCTTGTTTCAAACTTCAGGCTTAGTTTTATCAATCCCCCAAAATTACGAGTCAATTTTCAACTTCGGCGACTCCCTAAGCGACACAGGCAATTTCCTTCTCTCCGGTGCCCTTGCATTTCCGGTCATCGGACAGCTACCTTACGGCGAAACCTTCTTTCAACGCGCAACCGGCCGGTGCTCCGATGGTCGTCTTATAATCGATTTCATCGGTGATGCTCTTCATACTATAAAAAACAGCTTGAAAACCAAGGTTTCATTCTCCTAACTGTGTTGTTTTCTTCTTTGTTTTTATAAACCAGCCGAGGCATTTAATTTGCCGTATGTGCCACCGTACCTAGCAGTAAAGCAAGGCCAAGGCCAAAGTCCTCGACACGGAGTGAACTTTGCAGTCTCCGGAGCTACTGCACTTGATGCTGAGTTTTTCTTCAAACGAAACATCTTGATTTTATGGACAAATGATTCCTTGAATGTTCAGCTTAATTGGTTCAGAAACCTCAAGCCCGACCTTTGCTCCGATAAAGAGTGTGAGCATAAGTTCATCTTTACAAGTATAAAAGCATGCATTTCTCTCTAAGACTAACTTTCTTTCCTTTTTTTCCTGCGTAGCTTGTGATGATTTCTTCAAGAAATCACTTTTCATGGTCGGAGAGATCGGTGGGAACGATTATAACTACGCCTTCTTTCTTGGTGGAGGCATTAAACAGCTTCGATCCATGGTCCCTTTGGTCGTTGGAGCAATTACTGATGCGACCGCTGTAAGTTTAGAGTTTTAACCGAAATATGAATTGTGAAGCTTAAGCCATTAAAGTTTGGTTTTTGTGGGGATTTTGCAGGCGTTGATAGAGGAAGGTGCGGTGGAGTTGATGGTGCCAGGAAATCTTCCGATCGGTTGCTCAGCTGTTTACTTGACCTTGTTTGAAAGCCCTAACAAGGGAGATTATGACCGCCACGGTTGCCTGAAGGCATTTAATGCTTTCTCAAAGTACCATAATTCTAAGATTAAACAGGCACTGGATATGTTGAGACAAAAGTATCCACATGCCAGGATTATGTACGCTGATTACTACGGTGCTGCCATGCGTTTTGTTCATGCCCCACTACATCACGGTTAGTTTCTTCTTATATATTCACGTTCATTTCAATCACTTCGTTAAGGATTAGGTTGTGTAATAACGTGGATTTTGATTCGAATCTGATTTTTTTTTTATTAATTTAAATTTGATAAAAAGTAATGGTAGAAGGTCAAAAAGTTTTATAATGTCCGATATAATAGTTATTTTAACTTTTATTTTTTTAAATATATAGTCTTTTTATTTTTTAAAGTAAAATGATCTATAATTTGATGAAAAATTATTAGTTGATTAATAATCAACGGTTGAGGATGGCATGATAAATTTTATATATTCAGAATACTAACGAGAAATTACTACATATATGTAAGTGATTACATGACATATTTAAAGTGATGTTATTACACATATCACATCATCACTTATGTACATGTGACAATGCCATATAAATACTTTAGATATATAAAAACTATCATATTAGTAACAAACATTGACTTTTAAATAATTAACAATTTCATCTAATTGAAAATTATTTTATCCTAAAATGCAACGGTAGATTAAAATGTTTAAAGAAATTTAGACTAAAATACTTCTTTTGCCTGGATAAATTTTAATAGGCATAATGTTAAAAATAACCCTAATATTTATTAGAATTGTCATTTTGATCACTATATTGACTTGAGAGCATTTTAGCCAACCCAATGTTTTATTTTAGGATAAAATATTCTATTTTGGACCGTTAACTGTGTGTTCACTAACAGATTCCATCTATGGAGGGACTTTTTTGCTCTAAAATGAAACGTTAGGGGCCAAAATACTCCAAAAAAAAATAATATGGACCAAAATGATCATATTAATAAAAATTGTGAGCTATTTTTTTGTATTATGCAATTTTAAAATTATGCAAAAAGTAAACTATACCTAAAATGATAGTATTATGATAGATGATTTAAATGTATTGATCTGAGATGGGTGTATTTAAATGAACAGGGTTCTATGGTGGGACTCTAACGGCGTGCTGTGGAGGGGGTGGTCCATATAATTTCAATAACTCGGCAAGGTGCGGTCACGCCGGATCTAAAACATGTCAAGATCCTTCCATTTATTCAAATTGGGATGGCATTCATCTGACCGAGGCGGCCTATCGCTATATAGCCTTGGCATTGATCAACGGCTCCTCTTCTCAACCACCCCTCATTTCCCATCCCCTTTGAGGTTCAATCAAATCAATTTCCACGACTCATTTTGATGTTCATTAGACTGGAAGGACCATTTGTACCTGATTTGATTTGCTTTATAAGTCTTGCCTCATAATTTTGAAAATAATGAGAATTGATCTATTAATTGAGATGGATTCACTATAATTTGAAATTTAATTTGTTCAAGACAATCAATGGGAATATTATGAGTGAAACTCCGAGGCAAAGTGTCATAACCGCCTTTTGGTTGGGCCCCGAATTGGGCTTCGACTTGAAATAATTGGGTTGGGAGTCGCCACCGACCACTTTAAAACGAATTTAGGTGGGTCGGACACCATCTTACTTGATCTGCGTTTTTACCAGAAATGTGTCGGGTTCGGGAGTCGGTTACGGTCAAGGAAGGATTAGCACCTTTGAATCGCCCTTTCGGTACAAATTAATTTGGGGTTGTCTTAAATTAAGAAAATTGTAATTTAAAATTAAAAGGTAAAAATACGATCACAATTACTTACCTTAAATAGTTTTAAAGGTGTGACCTTAAGAAGGTCAAAAAACCATGTTAGATAAAAATATAAGAAATAAATAAATAAATAAATAAATAAATAAAATTAAAATGAAGAAAAAACAAATTAAATAAAAGATAAGATAAAGAAAACAAAGATAAAATAGTAAGTAAAATAAATATAAAAAAATAACGAAATAAAGAAAAAGAAAAAAAATATATAAATAAAACAAACAAATAAAATAATAATAAAAAAGTAAAAATAATATATATATATATAAATAAAAAATAAAAAATAGTAAATATATATATATATATAAATTAATAAAATTGATAATAAAATAATATATATATATATATATATATAATCTAAAAAAAATAAAAATATATACTAAGTAAAAAAGAAAATGCATAAAATGTAAAAAAAATATTACATAAAAAAAGAAAAGAAAAAAAACAAAACAATTAAATAAAATGAGTAACAAGTGAATTGTGCGTATAAATAAAGTTAAATAAATAAAATAATAATAATTAAAACGTAAATGTAAGCGACCGAATCAAAAGTAAAAAAGATGCTACCTTTTATTTCCTTTTCGAATCGTTTACAATAGTTTTGCCTTTGCATTTTCCGTGCTTTCCTCTGTATTTTGTATGTAAATCGTGTCTTACAAATGGGGATGATTACATGTATTTATTGTGAAAAAAACTAACTATTTTTAGAATCCTATTAACAATAAAATTTTAATGCAACTAGACTTCTTGCTCGGTTGTTGCACGTTTGTTGGTGTGGTTGTTGCTTTAAAAGATATGGTGGATGAAGAGTTCTCCTAGGAGAGAAACTCTTGCTAGTTCTATCTTTTAAGAAAATGGGTGTCTACAGCTGCCCCTCTTTGTCCTTTTTCATAGAACGAAAAATGGGACAAAGATAAAAAGACACAAATTTTCGTTCAGTGGAGTTGAAGAATAACTCATTGTCGAATTGAATTGCGGATGGCTCCTCCGTCGCGAAGTCGAGTCCATCTTGAAATGATTTGAATCAGAATGTGGCTTCTCGTTGTAGTCCACTTTGGTCTTCTTCTCGGTTTAAATACCTTGGCTAAAAATTCGATTGGAAAGTAATCTCTTGACTCCACAATGTGGTTGATATGCCCTCGAGCTGAATGAAACCGAACTTGAAAAGTCTTCACTGACATATAACTTTTCTCGACATAAGCTATGCTGACAAAAAAAAGGCTTCTTGCTATTAAGGCACGACTAACATAGACCTTCTTCTCGGCTTGAAAAACCTCGATTACAGCCAGAAAATAGTGTGATTGAGGTGTCATCGAGCTGAATAAAATCGAACTTGACAATTTTATTGACAGATAGCCCTTCTTGCCTTGAGTTATGCTGTAAATGATGTGCCTTAGAGATGAGCATAGTCAAACTCGAAGGTCTTTTGGTGACAGATAACCCTTCTAGCCTTGAGTTATGTTGTAAATGATGTGCCCTCGAAGCTGAGTGTAATCGAACTCGAGGGTTTGGTGTTTCAAGAGAAACATTTTTAAAGGTTTTTTGTGTGTGTGTTTCAAGAGAAACAATTTCGAGTTTTTTTTGCGTTTCAAGAGAAACTATCTCAAGAGGGACAAAATTTGTTTCAAAAGAAACTGTCTCAAGAGAGGTAAAACTTAGTTCTAAAAGAAACTGTCTCAAGGGAGATGAAATTTGTTTCAAGGAAAAGATATTCAAAGATTTTGTTTCAAGGGAAACTTTCTCAAGAGAGACAAAATTTGTTTCAAGGGAAACTGTCTCAAGAAAGACAAGATTTTGTTTCAAGGGAAACTGTCTCAAAACTCATTTTAAGGGGAACTGATTTAAATATTTTGTGTTTCAAGGGAAACATTTTCAAGGTTTATGTTTCAAGAGAAACTATCTCAAGGGAGACAATTTTGTTTCAAGGGAAACTATCTCAAGAGAGACAAAATTCATTTCAAAGAAAATGTTTTCAATGTTTATGTTTCAAGAGAAACTGTCTCAAGGGAGACAAAATTTTGTTTCAAGGGAAACTACCCCAAGCGAGATAAAATTTATTTCAAGGGAAATGTTTTCAATGTTTATGTTTAAGAGAAACTGTCTCAAGGGAGACAAAATTTCGTTTCAAGGGAAACTATCTCGATCGATATAAAATTCATTTCAAGGGAAATGTTTTCAATGTTTATGTTTCAAGAGAAACTGTCTCAAGGGAGACAAAATTTAGTTCCATAAGAAAATGTCTCAAGGGAGACGAAATTAGTTTCAATGAAAACATATTCAAATATTTTGTTTCAAGGGAAACTTGGAAACTGTCTCAAGAGAGACAATGGTGAGCACGATTCCATTCGTCGTGAAGTTGAAACTGTGGATGACCCATTCGTTGTGAAGTTGAGCCTTGGAATTAGATATCCTTTGTCGTGAAGTTAAAATCCAAGTAAGTTGTATTGTTCCAAGTCCAATATCATCCGCCGTGAAGTTAAAATTGGCTCTGGAACTAGGAAATTATTTGTTGACAACCAGCCATCCCTTCGTTGTGAAGTTGAACTTGTGTTGTCTCGAGTCCAATATCCTTCGCTGTGAAGTTGAAATTGGCTCTGAAATTGGGAATTTTTTTGTTGACAACCAGCCGTCCCTTCGTTGTGGAGTTGAACTTGTGTTGTCTCGAGTGGCACGATATCCTCTGTCGTGGAGTTGAAATCGCAGGTGGCCCTTTCGTCGTGAAGTTGAGCCTTGACTTGGATATTATTCATTGTGAAGTTGAAATCCAAGTATTGTATGTTGTGGGTGGACATGATTCCCTTCGCCGTGAAGTCGAAACCGTGGATGACCCCTTTATTGTGAAGTTTAGCTTCGAGCTAGATATCTTTCGTCGTGAAGTTGAAATCTACTCTCGAGCGAATTGTGTCGTTGAGTTCAATATCCTTCGCCGTGAAGTTGAAATTGACTCTGACTGAAACTGGAATGTTGTTTTGTTGTCAGACAGTCGCCCCTTCGCTGTGAGGTAGAGCAACCACCATGTTCTTTTGAATCGAGCATCCTTCATCTTAAAGTTGAAACTTGACTCTAAAAGTTGCAAAAACTTAGGTATACAAAAAATGATAAATGTGATGCTCTTAAGTATGTCTAAAATGCATGTAACATGAATTAGTTCTGTTTTATCCCATGGATGGAGTCTCGTGCTTTGTGTGCTTGTTCTTGCATATGGAGGAAATGCCTTCAAAAGGTCTGATAATTTGCATCAGGATGTTTAATTCCCAAAGATGCCCCAATATTCGATGTTGAATCTCAAAAAATGCCCCAACATTTGATGTTAAATCTAAAAAAATGCCCCAACATTTGATGTTGAATCTTCAAAGATGCCCTCATTGTTCCTGATTTCTTACTTCAGCATTGATTCTAAGCATGAGTTTTGTGTTTAAGAGCCACATGTCATTTACCAAGATCCACTCTAGAGAGATTGTCTTATTTTGAAAAAAAATGTTTTTCTTTATTTTTTATTTTCAAAGTTCTGAAAATATCAAAAAAGAGTTTTGAAAAATGTTTAACCAAAAGTTTTGAAAATATTGCCCCTTACACGGTTTTACAATTGAGACAAATCATAAAACTAGAGTTCATTGGATATCAAAGAATTAATTACATTGTTAATCCTTCAATAAATTATAGTCGTTTGACACGTGCCAAGATCAAATCTATTTTTGGGAAATGGTTAAGTAAGGAAAGGATAAAAATGTCTCAGGTTATTGTGTTTGGTCAAAGGTTTGGCATTTTTGTTTATTTGATGCTCAAAGGTTTGATGGGGTATCTTGCATGCTCCTATATTGGAAGTGTTCTCTGATTCCCAGCTTTCATGGTCAAGCTCGGATTGTGCGATGCCTTATCAAGGAATTCGTGCGATCGCCTCAGCTGTCTAATTTTTGTATTTGAGCCGCCTTTTCAGGTTTTCAACTAGAATCCTCCTTTGGTTTCAAGACGTTATTCGTAATTTATGTCTTGAACCCCCTTTTGCTATTTTTCTCTATCATACATTAATTACAGTATTTTTTGCAAATCAAGATTAATCCTGATGGGCGGGATGAAATCTGAAGATAGTCTCTTATGTTTAGAAATCCATGTATGATTAGAAGAGACTTTTAAGGCATGTAACGTAGGTCATGGTTCATGGTTATGAAAGAAAGGGATAAAAGGCCCAAACAAGTGTTTAAGGGTGATTGAACCAAGGATCAATTCATTCTGATGTCTTCGATCATATTTTGCTCAATTTGAATCTGCTCGTATGTGTCTTTCTCTTGATGGTGCATGATCTTTGAGTGGAGTGATTCAGTAATTCAGAAATGATTGTGCTTGATCAATCTCATTTGATACTCTATGATCTTCGAGTGAAGTGGTTCAGTGATTCGGAAATGATTGTGCTTGTTCAATTTCATAGTTTGAATCTCGACGCGTCATTTGAATCGAGATAATCTTTGCATATGCATCTTATCTTCTTTTTTCTTCAATTTTCCT